ATTTATTTGTAAAACTTTTTTCGACATCATATTTTTGGGTGTTTGACTTTGACAGAGTCAAAATTGATTTAGTTGATCTTTATTCAAAAAGGTTTCTCACCTTTAATTCATATAATTTGTTCTAATGATTTATTTCAATACATCATTTCAAAGTTCACATCATAATAATTTCTTCATATATTCTTGATTTGGGTCTGTACTCAGGTTCCCAATCAAGATCACACAAATAGTCAAGAAATTGGGTTTATCTCTATGAGATTTATCCTGCTCGTGATATTGGATATCAAAACACATTTTATTTTGGTCCAAAGCCCAGCAACAATTTATTTTAATCAAAACAATTTTGTTTAATCGAATAATTATTTATTAATAATTCTAGGGTATGTTTTGGGGCGTTACAGAATGTGTGTGTGCATTTGTGTCCATGTCTTACCCATGAGCATGCTGTGATGAGTTACTGATTTTGATTGTTAAGTTGGGCACTTATGCCTAAATGAAATTGTATGCATTACCTATCCCCTGATCGAGCATGCTATGATGGCTGATTATTTTAATTTTTTGCCTTGTGCCAGTGACCTTTCAAACTGTGTGCCCCTTTGCAGAGTGTGTGTGTGCATTTGTGTCCATGCCTTACCCCTGAGCATGTTGTGATGAGTTACTGATTTTGATTGTTAAGTTGGGCACTTGTGCCTAAATGAAACTGTGTGCATTACCTATCCCCCAAGCATGCTATGATGGCTGATTATTTTAATTTTTTGCCTTGTGCCTGTGACCTTTCAAACTGTGTGCCCCTCTGCAGAGTGTGTGTGCATTTGTGTCCATGCCTTACCCCTGAGCATGTTGTGTTAAGTTCTGCACTTGTGCCTATGTATGCATTTCTGTCCATTTGATTCCCCCGAGCATGCTGTGATGAGGTTAGTTGTGCAGAAATGAATTTCTGTTCATTTCCTACCCTTGAGCATGCTGTGATGAGGTCTCTGATTGTGTGTGTTTGTGTGTCTAAAACTGCAATGATGAAAACCATTAATTCAATATCAAGTACTTATGTTTGATTACAATTTGCTTGTGTGCTGCTTGCTGCTTCTAAACCCCAAAATCCAAAAACCCAAAAAGCAAAAACCCAATATTCAAAAAACACAAGCATACTTACACAAAAATCCTAATATAACTAGGTTCTGCTAGGTGCTAGTTCATTCTTGAAGAATGAAGTCTTCATCCTCTTCAAGAATGAACTGACCCAATAGGTTTTCAGGAGTCTCCATCACATGTACTGCTGGCCCATTCTGCACACCGAGTCTTCTTACAGTTCTATCATACAATCCTTTTTATAGTCGCAATACATAAGGCAATCTCCCTTCTCTTTCCATGCTTTTCTTGCCCATGTGTGGCAGCTTGTAGTTATTACCCCCATCCACTTTCATTATCTCTTGCATAACATTTTGATAAGTCAGCCACACTTTATTTAATGTGTGAGGTGAGAACTGACTCTATGCATCTTGTACTGCCTCCATTAACTCTGTGACATTTGTTGGAGCAGATTTGTCCTTTAATGACTGTATGGCTCTAAAAAAACCTAAATCTAGAATGTTTAGGTCAGGGGAGTTAGGGGGCTGGTTTGTAAGGGAAATCTAAAAACCATTAGTTGTGCTTGCCATGACATAGTCTATGTCATTCCCAAGAATATGTGGCCTAGCATTATCTTGCTGCATTATAATTTCCTTGATCATGAAAGTTGGCCACTTCTCTTGGATGGCAGGTATGACCTTTTGTAGCAACATTCTTTTAAAGACTTCTTTGGTTACACTTGATATTGGTTTGGTTTCCCGAGAACCTGCATCTCTATTCTTGATTTTCCTCTTTGCCTCAACACTTTCTACAAATGGGAAAATCCCAACTTTCCCATCCCAAAGTACTTCTTCAGCATCTGAAATTACAGGTCTTCCAACAACCCCAAGAAACATGATTTTTTTGATAAATCTCTTAGATTGACAAGTTCTATAGGGTTCATCCTCCTCTAAGGTCAAGTAGTATCTTTGGGATGTTTTTGTCATAAAAAACCATTTCTCATCAATGTGCAACACATTTTTAAATGTCTTGAAACTTGGGTTTGTGGGGATACTAGATTGTTTTACTTGGTCCAAACAGAATTTCAATCTCTGTATCTTGTTTGAATCATTAAGTGTGGGCTTAATTGCATTACTATGACTCCGAAGAATACCTCTATTCACCTAGTTATGAGCCGTGGACTTGCAAACGCCCACAGCGGAGGCTAGTGACCTGATTGTGGTTCTCCTTCGCAGTGAAATTTCTGCAATTGATTCTAAGTCCACTGCAAATCTTTTCCTCCCAACATTTCCTGGCATTTTGCTTCTCACATCTATTAAGTTACCAACGCCTAGTTGTTCCTTAGCTTTTCTCCACAGTTTAGAAACAGATGTTGTGCTTACATTGAACTTAGCAGCAGCTTCCTTCACAGCACCTCTATGAGCAGTTTGTGTCCCCATGAAATTGTTTTTTGCATGTAGCAACAAGTAGTCAACTGTTCCTTGTCTTTCCAAGTTTAAAGGTTTTTTTGTCCTTTTCCCTTGTGTGTTTTGGGATTCTGTTTGCGGTGTTTGTGTAGGAATAGATGGGTCCATTCCTGAAATTGAAATGGCAGTAGCAAACATGGGAAAAAGAAAGGGTTCACATGGCAGGAAGAGAAAGAAAGGAGAAAGTGATTATGACATGGCTGGAAAAGAAAAGATGAGAAAGGAAGAAAAAGAAAAGTGCAGTAAAGTACCTGGAAAGGAAAGCCCTTAGCAGAAAAGGAAGAAATTGGAAGGGGATGAAGTGCTGACTGTATTAATAGCCCACCAAAAAAAAGAAGTTAGAGTGGGAAGTTTTGAAAAAATGGAGGGAACTGAATTTTTTTTGTCATTTGGGCAATGATAGTGCCGTGTAATGTGATGTAGTGGTATGGGGTGATGATTTGTTTTTGTACTTGTACTTGTACTTTAACAATATTTTAATCATTTTCATTACTTTATCTATCCAATCACTACTATTTAATTTTATTCACCTTTACCTTTAATTTATTTATTTTTATTAACCAAAGGGCAAAGTTGGAAAGTCAAGGCTTTTTTTACATTTTCTTAAATTTCGTGCCAAGTCAAAGTCTGAACATTAAAAATGGACGGAGAGAGTATAATTTAAATACAGAAATGTTAAATAAATATGATATATCAAAACTATAATTAAACATGAATTTGATTATATTGAATTTACATCATAATTAAATATATATTTTTTTACAATTAATCGTCAAAGTATGTCATTGTCTGACTAAAAGAAACTCAAAACATGAAAGAATTTATGAGATAAAGAGAATAAATGAATGAGAAAATTACTTGAAAGAGCATTGTGAGGGGAGTATAGACGTACTAGACTACTCCGTATATGAGAGTATTATAGAGGGTAGGGATGGACATGATATGTTACGATAAGGTATTTAACTCGTAGTGATATTGTACTAAATGTTTCAGTTTGATATAGGATTTTACGTCGTATCAATTCTGATCTTAAAATATAAGTTATGATTCGAGAGGGTTCGGTAATGATTTCATTACAAATCATGATGAATACATGCAAATATATTTTCTCAAAAACAAAATACAAATAGACACTTTAAAATCTAGCAAAAGATTTTATTTCAAAAAATGCAATTAAAGTATGCTTAAATAAAAAAAGAGTAATTAAATGAAAAAATGCGTATTAAACATAGTTTATATTTCACAAACTAAAGATAACGAATGATAAAAACAATATTAGTTCATTTTTAAATTCATCTACAAAAAGTTAAATTTGAATAAATTTTTTAACAAACGCTTTTGAGCAATAATTTGCACATAATAAAACTTGAAAAAAGTTTCAAAATAAACTTTATTAATGAAGAAATATAAAATGATCTTAATCAATGAAGATATATATAAAACGATCATAATATTTATAATTATATAAGTGTATATATATTCTCAATCGGTTGAGATTTTCCATATAAAAAGTTATTTCGTATTGTTTTCAAAAATGGAAGCAATCATTCTTGTGATATTTATAGTAATTTTCAATTTTATACTCCCTCCGTCCCAGAGTATTTGTCCACTTTCATTTTTACACACCATCCAATACACTTCTTTAATCCATTTTATCTTGTAATTTGTATATTAAAAAATTATAGAAATTATATATTTATAATCTACGTAGTATATGTTAAGACAAATCAAACAAGATCACACATGACTATATTTAGGCTTACACATTGAGAGAATTTGATGAGTCAAAGTGCTTAGATGAACAGTTCCAAAAATCAAAAGTGGACGAATATAGCGGGACGGAGGGAGTATTTTTTTTATTCAATTTTATCGAATAATTCAGAAATTTTGGGGCCAATTCCAAAGTTGCTCACTCGTAAGAACCCGAAGCAGACTATAAGACCATCTCTAATGGGATGCCCACAAGAGATGCTAGGAGGAGAGAGAGTGAGATGTTGAAGGATGCTATTGTTGTAGGTGAGTGCTCATTATAGATGCCCAAGGAAGAAAAAGAGAGGGGGATGCTTCACATAGCACCGATGCTTGAGGGGGAAGGGTTTCATGCATTCATTTCTTTAGTTTTGTGGTCTAATGATTATGTGTCATGTGTCATATATATATTCAATTCTTTTTATGGCAATTTTCTTAAATAGCTCTCTTTTTAAATACTTTTCCAATGAATTTTTTTTATAATTCCAATAAATATTTTAAGTAATTTTTTTTACAAATAGCAGCAAATTAGGATTTTTTCTTAAAAAATGGATTTACATCGAAATAGGTCGTTTTTAGATTTTTTTTGATATTGATGGAGAACAAGCTAGTTTTAAAATAAAAAGAGTAGTTTTTTTCAATATAATATTTTTTCAAGTTTTGTATAATTAATACTCCGTAATTTATTATACAACTAAATACTTATGAGAAATGTTGCCATTGTGGATGCTTATTAGTTGACCTACTATACTAATTGAATAGATATTTGGGCATCCAAATGAGATGCTATCATTAAAAGAATAAGATGTTGAGAGAGGTGCTAAAATAACATCTTTATAGTGGAGCCCACACTTGAGAATCTAATGAGAGATGTTGCCATTGTGGATGCTCTAAGGGATATTTATTGATGGTATAAAGCTACTTGTTTGCTTCTTGGGCGTCAAGAAACCTCTATTCTATTAAAGCAGCGTATCCCGTATCCCTCAGTCTCTTTAATCAAACTCTCCCCCAATTTTATCCCCTGTAAACCTAATCGGCCATGGCTCTACTCGGACCGCCGGAGCTCAGAAACGCCGCCCCACAACCATCATCACCACCGCCTGAAACAAAAACCACATCTCCACCACCTTCATCCGGCGATCCGGATCTCATGGGATCCGATTTTGACAGCGCCACATCCTATCCGCCGATGGGCTTCACCGAGAACATGGCGGCGACCTATCTCTCCTCCGGAGACCCCTGCCTCGATTTCTTCTTCCACGTCGTCCCCAACACACCGTCGCGATCCATTGAAGCGCGGCTTTCAGCCGCGTGGCAACACGACCCTGCGACGGCGCTCAAACTAATTTTCAACCTCCGAGGCGTCCGCGGCACCGGGAAATCCGATAAGCAGAGTTTTTACACGGCGGCGATTTGGCTCCACGGCCACCATCCCAAAACCCTAGCCTCTAATATCTCTCACTTGGCGGATTTCGGTTACATCAAGGACATGCCTGAAATTCTATTCCGCCTTCTCGAGGGCGCCGATGTTAGATCCACGCAGAAGACTGAATGGGATTTGAGAAAGCGTCTCGCGGTCAGAAAGAGTATTAAGATGAAAAATAAGGGCACAGTGAACAAGAAGAAAGTTATGTACATGGTTCCCTCTCTGCCCAAAGAAGAACGGAAACTTCTTATGGCTAAGAAGGTGATCGATAAGTACAACGCCGATGAAGATTTCCGGTATTTGTCTGACCGGATCTCCGATTTTTTTGGTGAAGCTCTCAGAGCCGACCTGGAGAGATTGAACGCCGGCGAGATACACAATATCAGCCTCGCCGCAAAATGGTGCCCGTCCATCGATTCGTCCTTTGATCGGTCGACTCTGTTGTGCGAAGCCATTGCACAGAAGGTGTTCCCCAGAATGTCCCATCCAGAATACGAAGGAATTGAAGACGCTCATTACATCTACAGAGTCCGGGACCGTCTCCGGAAGGAAGTCCTTGTTCCTCTCCGGAAGGTTCTAGAATTGCCGGAAATCTACATCGGAGCCAACCGCTGGGACTCCATACCCTACAAGAGAGTCCCCTCTGTCGCCATGAAATTCTACAAGGACAAGTTTCTCAAGCACGATGGCAAACGATTCCAAGGCTACCTGGAGTCCGTGAAAAAGGGGGAAGCTAAAATTGCAGCGGGCGCTCTGTTACCGCATGAGATAATCCAGGCATTGAATGATGGTGAAGCTGACGGAGGGGAAGTAGCAGAGCTGCAATGGAAGAGAATGGTGGACGATCTTCTCCAGAGAGGGAAGCTGAGGAACTGCATGGCAATCTGCGATGTCTCTGGAAGCATGACAGGAATTCCGATGGAAGTTTCGGTGGCGTTAGGCGTTCTTGTTTCGGAGCTGAGCGAGGAGCCATGGAAGGGGAAGGTGATCACTTTCAGCGCAAACCCGACCCTTCAGATGATCAAAGGGGATTCTCTCCGGGAGAAGACGAGCTTCGTGAGGAGGATGGATTGGGGGGGGGGAACACGAATTTCCAGGAGGTGTTTGATCTGATCCTGAAGGTGGCGGTACAGGGGAGACTGAAGCCGGAGCAGATGATCAAGACCCTGTTCGTGTTCAGCGACATGGAATTCGACCAAGCCTCGGGAACCTACAATTCATGGGGAACCCATAATTCCTGGGAAACGGATTACCAGAAGATAGTGAGGAAGTTCGAGAAGAAGGGTTACGGGAATGCGATCCCGCAGATTGTGTTCTGGAACCTAAGGGACTCGAGAGCCACGCCGGTGCCGGGGAGTCAGAACGGGGTGGCGCTGGTGAGTGGGTTTTCCAAGAATCTGTTGAAGCTCTTCTTCGAGGGAGATGGGATCATCAACCCTGTGGAGGTCATGCAGTCCGCCATCTCCGGCGAGGAGTATCAGAAACTCGCCGTGGTAGACTAAACCACAAAGTTCTCCATTATTGTTTTTCTTTTTTTAGTTTTTTAGGGATATTATTATACATTTGAAATTTTAGATAGATTTTAATTTTAATATTTGAAATTTTAGGGTGATTTGTTTTAAAAAGACTTATGTGATTGATTCTAATTTAATTTGATTAAATTTTTATTTCAATTGATATTAATTATATTTAAGATTGTTTTTTTTACTAAATTTTGATTTCATTTGATATGTGGAGAGGCTGTAAATGTCTCGGGTTTTACTCATTGGTAGGGGTGTGCAAGAACGGGTCTGGACTAGAAATTAGACCTGACCCAGTCCGGAATGGACTGGTCCGGATCGACCCAAAGTAATCATGTTTGGTCTTTGGTCTTAAGAAATTTTGGATTCCGGGTTCCGTTCCGGTCCGGTATAGAACCCGGAAATAACCGGTCTGGACCGGAATTTTTAGATATATTATTACTCCCTCCGTCCATGTAAGATCTTCCCATTACGCGTTACGAGGCTTGACCGAATTTATTTTTAATTCAATTTAATTGATTATAGGAGTAAAATTTTAAAATAAAATTTATATAGTAATAAACTACATGAAAAGTTCTACAAAACTAGAGGTGACAAGACTATATTATTTTATGAAATGACTAATAAAAATGAGCAAACAAAGTGAGTAAAGTTTGACACAGTGAATAGTGTCTGGGAAGATCTATGGTGGACACAGGGAGTATTATTAATTTTTTGTACCTATCTTATCCACTAATCAACTATCCAAGCCCAGTCCAATTAATCAAACCTGTGACCAAGCGCAGAGCCTACACTACTGCCGCATTCCCGCATCTCTTTATCGCCTACGGGCATGTTTGGGAATAGCGTTAGCTATTAACGTTAGCGTTTTGAAAAGGCTATCTACGGGCAGCGTTTAGCGTTAGCGTTTTCAAAGTAATCTGCACCGTTAAAATTTTATCCAAAACGCTAACGCTAATCTCTAACGCTATTTCCAAACAGGCCCTACAACTGCAACTCGTTAATCAGCTCCTCCTTCGTCGCATACTCGCATCTCGTCAATCAGCTCCTCCTTTTCCAGGATCGTTGCTCGTCCTCTGCTTTTCGTTCTCGAATCCCTGGTTGCGTAATGCGGATTGCTGCTAACAGAAATGAAAAAAAAAGACAAGGAGAAGAGGTTTAAATTCAATTTCTACTTCTATTTCCTAAAATATTTGAGAGAGCATGTCTTCTCCCTTGGTAGACATTATTTCTTCTCTGTATTAGGGGTGAGCAATTTAAGAGAAGAACAAAAACAGCGTTTTGGATAAAAATTTAATGGTGCAGATTCATTCTGAAAACGCTAACGCTGAAGGCTACCGTCGGATAGCTTTTTCAAAACGCTAATACTAATCTTTAACGCTTATGCCAAACGGAGCCTTAATCGAATTGACCGATAATCGATACAATTTAACCGAACCGATCGTAATTTTAAATTCGATTTTAGTTTTTGGTTTTAAATATATGTAAGCCGACCAAATTAGCCACTTAAAAAAATCCAATTCCCAGCCCTTCTCCCAACCCAATTCCCAATCCGTCTCCCAAGTCCCAAGTCGGCAGGGGCAAGTCCCAAATCCGGCTGTGGCTGTGTCGTTCTCGGTCCTCACCAATCGGCCATCACCATCTCCCATTCTCCCGGTTCCGGCGTTCTCAAACCGACGTCAAGATCTAATCGGCAATCACCATCTCCGTTCCGGCGTCACCAATCGGCAATCACCAGGTTTGTTCATTCTTTTTTGTAGCTAATTACGGAGTATTATTCTTTGAGATGCATCACTAGCCATGGCCGACCATCATCAAAAGTGGACGCCAACTTCAAAGTCATTCATGCGGTCCGAGCAAGTAAAGTCGACAGACGTCTTCTCCAGACTCCAGTTACCAATTCTTTTCTTTTCTTTTTAAGTGGACCTTGTAATTTCTTTGTTAAATTAAGTGTGTTTTCAAATTTCTTTGTTAAATTAAGTTTGTAAATTAAGTGTTTTTTCAAATTTCTTTGCAAAATTAAGTGTGTTATTTCTTTGTTAAATTAAGTGTGTAATTTGTTTTTCCCAACTTTGTTTTGTTTAACTAATTTTTTGTTTTTTCATTATTCATGATTAGATCAAAATTCTAGAGCAAAGTCAATGGAGTCAATTTTTCCATTGGAAGAGCCCAACAAAAGAGAGAAATTTTTTTTTGTTTAACTAATTTGGTTTTTTCAAACCGACCTAACCCGATCGGTTTTTTGTCGGTTCGGTTTATTCGGTTCTCGCTTTAATTCGGTTCTGTTCGATCAGTTATTATGAGTACTTTTAATTTTCGGTTATTTCGGTTTTGGGCTGAAACCTGCCGAACCGAACCGATGCTCACCCCTACTCTGTATGGTGAAGGGGTTCTAAGATATTTCGTGTTAAATAGTTGTTCTTTTTTAAGGGAAATACTGGGGAAATATCCATTTTCCATTTGAATTTGGCACTTTGATAGTTTCAACATTTTGTTAGGATTGTGATTTTTTTAATATAACTAATCCGGTCCATAATAGGATAAACACGGACCGAACCAGAAAATTCAGGGCCGGACCGGTCCAGACCGGTAACCAACAGGTCCGGTCTTCGGGTCTTAAGATATGCATGATTCCGGTTCCGGTCCGGTTTTGGACCGGTGCACATCCCTATGCAAACTCTGGAAGTTGAAGGTCCCCCCCTAAGATTAGTGTTTGCATGTGGAGGGCTTTGAGAGGTGTTCTACCACTTTAGTAAGATCATTCTTTGCCCTTTTGATGCAAGGGTTGCGGAGGCCTTCGCAGTTAAGGAAGCGTTGTCTTGGCTCATAGAGCGGGGCATCACGGAGGTAGCTTTTTTCTCCGATTTCTCTTTGCTCATTCAATCTTTAAATAAGAGGTTTGTTGAAGATCATTCATATCTGGGCATTATTTTAGAGTGAGTGTAGGATTTTGGCATCTAATTTTTCACAATTACATTTCTTTTATTTCTCTCGTAGTTTTAATTCTCTAGCGCATAGTTTGGCTAAAAACTCTAAAGTAGGGCTGGGTTGGGAAAACCGAAAACCAAAAACCGAACCGAAATCGATCGAAACGAGCTAGAAAAAAAACCGAACCAAAAAACCGAAATCGAATGTAAAAAAACCGAACTGAACCGTTAGTGTTTGGTTCCGTTTTGGTTTTCACTTTGAAAAACCGAACCGAACCGAATAAACCGAACTTTCTTAGTTACTTCACTTTATTTATATGAATATATGTGATTGGTAGAAAAATCATAGAAATATAAATGCAAATAAATTACTAGTCGATTAAAATTATTTTCTTAACTATTAATTAAACATTCTAGCCATATTAATATAAATTTTAAAAAAAAATCTAAGAATATGAACACCAATAGCTAATCCTAATATAGAATTATATTAATATTAAACATTGATAGGAGTAATTTATATATTTACATAAAAATACTTTGATGTTATAATGAAAATGAAAGTATTATACCAAAAACCATAAATTCTTCGTTATTGATTTTACATACGATGTCTTTGGAAGTATTTGGAATCTTCTAAATGTTTGTTGGACACTCAACACATATTTTTTATGTAAAATTGAACCAAAAGGAATAATAACCTTCCGTTTGGTTTTTTAATTTTGTGTAAAAATCAAACAAAAAACCAAAGTTAACACTACATATTGTTATTGTTTCATCGAGTTAGTGTTTTTACAATTTTTTAATGGTTATAAATTTCTACTTTTATAAACCGAAAAAACCGAATAAAACCAAAATAAAAACCGTATAAAAGCAAACCGAATAACCAACGATTTACTTTTTTTTAATGCAAAACCAAACCGAACCGAACCGCCAATTTACCTTCCGTTTTGTCTTTGGTTTTGGGTGAAAACCGAACCCACGCCTACTCTAAAGTTGGTGACAATGCTTGGCTATCCGAACCGCACTGCTTGTATTTCTCATTTGATTGGTTAATGATATGCGGGTTTACCCTAAAAAAATTAGTAAAAAGGCATTCAAAAAAATAAGTAAAAAGAATAGCAGGTTCATGGGAACAATTCCAAGTTCTATAAATAATTACAGAAAAAATTAATATATATGTGTCATAAATCTTCTCAAAATTATTTTTTGTGTTTTTAACGAAAGTGGGTCGATGTATTAAATGCAGTGGCTTAGTTATTGAGTTGTTAAAAAAATAAAGCGAGGATAGTTATGATATTTTTTAGATATACTTCCTCCGTCCCACTATATTCGTCCACTTTTGACTTTTGGAACTGTTCATCTGTGCACTTTGACTCATCAAATTCTCTCAATGTGTAAGCCTAAATATAGTCATGTGTGATCTTGTTTGATGTCTTAACATATAGATTATTAATATATAATTTTTTAATATACAAATTACATGATAAAATGGATTAAAGAAGTGTATTGGATGGTGTGTAAAAATGAAAGTGGACAAATACTCTGGGACGGAGGGAGTAGCAAATACTTCCGAGATACGAAGCTGCAAGACAACCCAATTACGCGGCTCCAATAGCTTAGGCACGGGTATTAAATCTATGGCTGTCATTGTTTGACCAAAAAAATTAAAATAAGAAAGAGTATAGAACCGGAGAGAATTATTATTTATTAGAGGAAATGTTTAAAAATAATGTTTAAAACAGAAAATTTGTGATTAAAATTTATTGATTTTAATGTATTTTTAAACCAACCTAATAACGAACTATGAGTTCAAATGTTTTCTACTTCGTTTTATTTAAAGATTAAAATAAGGCTTACAAATTTAAAAACTATGCCAAAATTTTACAAAACAAGAAGTGATAAAAAACTTTTTATTTAATCAAATAAACAATCAAATTACACAAACCAACAAAAATATATGTAACGTTTGAATAATGTAGCGTGTAATCCTTTCTTAGACAAAGAAAATATGGAGCATAATTTAATTGAAGAATTTAAAATGATTTTATTAAATAAAAAA